GTACAGTCTAGACAGTATCCCAGCCCTCGTACAAACTATGAGATTTTCTTTGGCGCATCTCTTCGTGCTCATAATGTACCAAGTTTTAATTTTTAATAACAATAATAATAAGAGTAATAGTAGCAATAATGCTTATTTTTCTCCTAGGATTGAGATGATTGGTAGATTGGTTTGTGTAATTTATGGTCTGTCATGAAATCGATATAAAATGGATCCATTAGATTTGGTACGTCATGGAACCTTTCTATGTGATTTCGACTGATTTGATGCGTTAACTTAAGGTGCTTATGATACAATTGTTGAATGTTTATTAAGAAAGGGGGTTTGTCATGAGTTCTTGGTATACATTACTATTTTGAACATACTGTGGTCCGTTTTCTCCATGAACACTATGCTTCTTTTATGTTTAGCCTAGAATTAGTAGTGCAACAATTTTCTTTCTACCTTTCAAACGTTTTACTGTTTTCATGAGATTTTGCTGGGTTCAAAACGAACAAATTCCAGTATTGATTTTTTCGGGATTTTGTTTGATTGCATGGAGGATTTCATCATGAGCTGACATCAGTTAGAGAACCACTGGAAAACCTGGGAGTACTGGACAGCAGTTTCGTCCACCTAGTTTGGGACTCTTCATCAGTAGGCACCCACTCACACGGTTCGAACCCACGACCTTCTGGTTACAAGGCTAGCGAGTTCGTAGACCGTTGAGCCACTGGGAACCGATCCAATGGTTTTTGAATTCTAACTTCTGCCTATAAAAGACATAGCGCGACCATTTCACAATGTCTTTTTCGATGAGTTACTGCCTCATCTCATGAATTGGCAGAAGTTAGAATTCGTGGACTGGCCACTGAATCGGGTCCCAGTGGCTCAACGGTCTACGAGCTCGCCTAGTAACCAGAAGGTCATGGGTTCGAACCGTGTGGGTGAGTGCCTACTGATGAAGAGTTGACGAAACAGCTGTCCAGTACTCCCAGGTTTTCCAGTGGTTCTCTAACTGATATCAGCTCATGATGAAATCCTCCATACAAACAAACAAACTCATCAAAACTGGCCACTGAGTTGGGTCCCAGTGGCTGGATGGTCTACGACCTTGCCTTGTAACCGGGAGGTCAAGGGTTCGAACCGTGGCGGTGGGTGAGAACTGCTGACGAGTCGGAAACTGGGCTGACGAAATGGCTATCCAGCACTCTGGCATTGGTTTTCAATGGTTCTCTAACTGATATTAATCTTTGATCAAAATTTTTACCGTATATTGCTCTGGAAAATTGAGTAGTGTGAAACTCCTTTTGTGTTTGATAACAGATAAGACAAATTGACATATTTCATGTGTGCTGAAATTTATCATTTGAAATTCACTATCTCTTCTTTAACTGATTCAATGAAAATGTTTCTTTACAAGAGTGAACAATTGATAAGTCAACATGTAAAACGAATATGAACAGTTTTCATGAAACATTATCAAACTGAGAGTGTTAATAATACATGAAGAAGGAAAAAAGGAAATGAACAGACAGATGTTACGACTACTGATGTTTTTGTTTATACATACTACTTAAGGTAAATCCTAATTATGAGAAGAGAGACAACTGAGGTAAGTCTATAAGTGAAAAGATGAATATATGTACTTAGGAGACTTGGAACGTCACGAATAACATTTCTGAAAGGATACTACCCACTTCACTCCATAATGAACATCAAATAGCCAGTGAAGAAAGGACAGGCAACAAAGGACACTGTAAACGAACCAACCAAGGACCAATCGACACACAACTTTTCAGAAGGAAATTGGGATACATTGGGCATACACCGAGGAGACCGTTGAGTGACATCGCGCACCTGGCTCTGGAGTGAAACACGAATGGGAAACCAGTTGGTCAATGGGTTCGTGGCTGATATGGAGCAGGAGATCGTATGAGAAGGAAATGAAAGCTGACGGACTGTCACGAAGTCAACTAAAGAGGAGTGCACAGGACACAATGAATTGGAGATATACTTCTGAAGACCTATATGTTCCACCTGGAGCCTAAGGGAATAATAAATAATATTATAAAAACGAAAAAGTATTAGCAAGTTATTCTTTCTCACCCAGGACCTTCCGCTTACAAGACAAGCTCATAGACCATTCAACCACTAGGACCCGATTCAATGACCAGCCCATGAATTCTAACTTCTACCAATTGGTGATTTTAGCGCGACCACTAACCAATGTCTTCGGTGGGACTACATCCCCACTCACGACTGGATGGACCCCGCTGGTTATCACTACTTACTAGAACTTCGTCCTTTAGCCAGGTAACTAGCGAGCAGCAGATTAATTTTTAAGAATTTGTTTGCAGGAATTCCATTTGTCTCAGGTTAGATCATGGATTCATACCAGTTAGAGAATCATTGAACTGCTGATGAGTCCCAAACTAGGATGAAACAGATGACTGTCCAGTACTCCCTAACATATTTCATGTTAGACAGATTCTCTAATAATAATAATAAAGCTTGTTTTTAACGGCTTTTAAATATTGAAGTTTAAAAAATAATTTTTATTTATGCTACACTAAACAACAGAGAGGGCTGTACGATTATTAAACATGACATATTACTAACGCCAGACAATTACAGAAAAACTAAGAATAAACTCAAGGGTGTGGTTAAGTCACTGAGGGCTAACAAATTCCCCATCCTATTTAATAGGCATTATATTTACTCTACTACTATTCTATTATATGGATTGTTTTCAAAAATAATTCAATTATGCCACATAACTATTATCCTCATGAATATTGTTAATTCTTTGTCAATGTGCCGTTGATTTGTCCCCTCCTTTGAAAGGAACAAAAGGAAAGTGTAGAGTAGGTAATAAATAGATAGATAGAGAGTAGGTAGTCGTATGTTTGTAATTACATCAATGACATTCTTTCAGTTACTATTACTATCAATGAATTTTTTTTTCCTTCACGTTCCCAGTGGAACATACAGCTTCAAGCAGCTAGTGGCTTGACGTTTCTGAAGCAGTGTTTATTTTTAAAGGATGAAGTTGCTAGCCTCATGCCCAACCTTACCTCTTTACCAGCATTATTTCTGGCTTACAGAGGTAAAGGAGTGCGTCGGTGGCCGGGGATCGAACCCCGGATCACGTGCATGGTCGGCGAGCGTCCTAACTGCTGTGCCACCGACGCACACTATCAATATATCCTTTGAGAAATTATTACACACGTTCTGAGTGGAACGAACATAGTGTTTAAGCAGAACATGCCCATTGAAACTGGCTTCACAATTACTCTCAAGCATTCATTTCTTCTTTACATGATCACAACCCATCCATATCACACCCAGACATTCTACCCGCCACTTCCATGGCATGTGATGTCTCTTGAATATCTGTCCTCAGTATAAGTCCAATCCGTCCCCATTCTCCATATTGGTTTGTTTATTAGATGTATCACACAGTGATGAAACAGTATTATATACTGGATGACATTTCGAACAAAATTTATTACTGTTCATAACCATATTAATTGTAATCACACGACTTTGAAGCTTGAGGTTTATAGTTTTCTTTGTCCTCTCCTATTTGTCGTCGTAGGGGTAGTAGAATTTTCCAGATATCTGGGTGGACATGTGTTGAATCATTCCTACTACACGTATTCTCTTCAGTTGATTCGATAAACAAAGCTTCTGTTATCGATCTCTCCCTCCACCCTGTGACATTAGATTTTAAAACTGTCATCCCCTCATCCTATTGTATGGTGCTATTGTAGTGCTATAGCTGAAATATTCTCTAGATTTCTTATCTTATTCGGGCCAACTAATCTAGATTTCGCTAGGTTTTTATGTTCGGCTAGTCTGACTGCCCCTGTTCTACTACTTTGACCTATGTATTTGACCTGACAATCATCGCAGGCAGGGTATTAGATAGACTAAATTATTTTGTTTTAAAGGCTTCACAGAATCCTTTAGCCGACAAAGCTTGTTTCTACTTGAGTTTGTGGGTTTGAATGCTACTTTTATTCCTACCTTGTTAAGAATTCTGTGTAAGGTGGTTTCCGAGGTTCCTTCCTTGTATAGAATTACTGTTGATGATTTAGGTTCCTCATTGTTAGTGTCGTCATTAATATTATTATCATTATTATGTGGCGTCGGTGGCACAGTGGTTAGGACTCTCGCCGACCATGCACATGTCCGAAGTTCAATCCCCTGCCGACGCACACCTGATATCTATGGTCGGCCTGCGAAATTTGGGCTACCGATATCCATGCTGAAAATTCCATACTTGTACCAAAAATACAGTGTGGAGTCAAACTGTAGTCAAAAATATAAATTAATAAAAAAATATTATTATCACTATCGCTACTATCATTGTTTATTTTATTTTTACATTTCCTTACATATTTCCTGACTAATTTATCCGGGTAATTATTAAGTCTCAAGGCTTCTTTTATCTGTATCACTTCTTGTCTTAGATTTTCCTTAGTACTACTTATTTTTTGTGCTCTGTCACTTAAACATTTCACCAATCCTACTTTTACTGACATAGGATGGGATGATTAGAAGTCCAAATATCTGTTTGAATGTATGTGCTTTCGGCAAAGCGCGTGTTAAATATCTGAAACATACGTAGAAGCACTGAATGATTTGACAATAGTGTTGAAAATTCCGATCCTGTTCTCCTTGCTGCACCAAGTATCATGAATCTCCACATCGATTTTTTTACATGGATGAATATCCCTCTTGTTTTCCCGATACTGGACTTTGAGCTCGCCTAGTTTACTATCCTCCCCGCCCCCCTAAAACTGGAAAAAAAGGGCAAGATTGGGCATAGTGCTAATAACCCCACCCTGTAGGAATAAAACAACAATTCCATCTCTACAGAAACCGCATAAGCACAGAAAAAGAGAATTAATCGACAATAAAATATTCTGAGAATTCGATGTCACATATCAAAGAAAATATAATCCAGAATAGAGCTATTTAAAAACAAAAAAAAGAATATTGTTATCACTAACCTGACAGTAACCAACATCTGCGTTGTACACTGAATAGGCGGCTAGAACACGAAACAATGCACATTGTCGTGGACCATAACGATCACGAAAGTAAATTGTATTTCGAAACGTTCTATTGACATCCAAGTCAATTTGATTTAGGGAACGTGATGAAGAAAGCGCTTGATTTAGCATTTTCTGTAGGAAGACAAAAGAGACAAGTGAAATAAAATTTACTATTAGTGAATAAGCAAATAACACAAAAAACTAGAAACTTATGTATGAGGGACTTGTTGCCGGATGATTTTGTCATTCTAGGTGAAGACACAATGACAAATTCCAGAGACCTCTTTAACAACTTGAGTAGAAGTATTAGAATGTTTAAGCGTGAGATTCGTTTCTAAGAACAAACGGTTCAGAGAAGAGTTTCTTTCTGGCGGCGAATTCATTCACTTAGCTGTACAATGGCATTCATATATAATTATTGTGTGTGTGTGTGTGTGTACATTAGGACTGTCAAAAAAATTAAAATTAGTTAGGCTTATTCAAGTGTTGGTTTATCGGGATTTTGATGGGTAGAAAGAATAAATAAAGGGTTGGTTAAGGAAACGTTTTTACTAATATGTCATACAGAAATTCAAAAAAGCATTATTAACAAAATAGTAGAACTTGGAATTATACCCAGGGTAGAAGGAGAGGGTGGACAAGGTTCTTCTATGTACATAAATCAGGGCTTTCTAACCGGAATTCTAAGGCCTTGGCAATGCAAAGTATACGGAAGCTTACCGTATTCAGGAGGCTTCTTTTTACTTTGTAGATGACTTTTCACGAATTCTTCTTACATATTGAGTGACTAGTGTTGAATGTTCAATTATATCACTCTTTATTGATCTACTGTCACCTTTTCGCAGCCAAACGAATATAATTCCAAGTTCTACTTTTTTTTCCTTCACGTTCCCAGTGGAACATAGGGCCTCAAGCTAGTTGAGGTTTCTGTAGCAGTGTTTATTTTTAAAGGATGGGGTTGCTAGCCTCATGCCCAACCCTTCCTCTTTACCAGCATTATTTCTGGCTTACAGAGGTAAAGGAGTGCGTCGGTGGCCGGGGATCGAACCCCTGACCATGTGCATCGTCGGCGAGCGTCTTAGCCGCTACACCACCGACGCAGAATGCTTTTTTTGAATTTTTGTATGACATCTCAGTAACATCTTTTTCTAAACCAACCCGTTATTTACACTTTCTACCTATCACATAATTTCTTTTGGGCACGTTTCTCCATACTCTTTCATTAACATCCTATTTCATATTACGCACACCTTGTCAATACTTACTTATCTTCACTCAACCAACCCCTTCCTCTACTAGTTACAATTTGATCACTCATCACATTTCCGAAACATCTTGATGACGTAAACAATAACCCTAACTAATCTTCATTTTTGTTTGATAATCCTGATGTACACAGACACACACATACGAAATAATTATATATGAATGCTACTGTATAGGTAAGTGAATGAATTCGTCGCCAAAAAGAGACTCTTGTCTTAGCTTTTTGTCCTTATATTCATATCTGTCTGGGTAAATTCGTTTCTGAGAAGCATAAGATGATGCTGCAGGACTGGACTACATCGACTCTGATTTTAAAGATTGGAAGTAAAGTGGTAGAGGGTGGGAAGCTGCCTCATCTCTAATGGATTGATTGCTGATGAAATCTCAGAACACGTACAAAAGGCTTGTGTGACACTTGCCAAATTACATAATCCGACCACCGATCAAAGGACGTGTGTATTTCATAGCAATTCGTTCCTTCCTTCTTTAGGGCTGAAACATGACGATTGAAAGTGGAAAATATGAAAAGGTTAGCTGTCTTTTACCACAAGTGTTTGTGTTCTATCTCTCGTGTTAAGTGGTATAATATGCTGAGTGATATTCAGGTTAGGTGTAGAGTTGTAGGTAGGAAGGCCAAGTGTCATACGATGAGGTTATTGAAGCTACATTGATTGAGATGGCTACGAGATGTGTTACGCATTCCAAGCCCCCCCCCTCACCTTCTTCGGTGAGTAATGTTAGCTAACATAGAATTATGTCGGTAAAATCAAGACCTGGCATCATTCCACGAAGTCTTTGACAGTTAATCTGAGCCACGTAGGGAGGTGTAGACTGTCTGGTTGGGATTCTCGGGATGCTGAGGAGCAATGGCTGGAGTCAATTGGTGGTGTATTTCGAGATCGCTCTCAGTGATGCAGATGCATTCACTTTCTGCGATCCTCATATCCACTAAACCGTCATATTTTTCCAGGTTACTATTCTTTCTGCTTCACAAATGTGTTTATTAGCATTCTTTTGAGTCACTTTTTCTGTCTTTTTTCTTCCTTTGTGTGGTACATGGAGTGTGGCAACTTGAACTGTTGTACTTCTGTATAAAGTTCAATATTGAGGCTATCAGTCAGTCAAAACAATTGAAGTGAGAGTGAAAACATTCATAATAAAGCTCAGGAGGCTTCCACCTTTTTAGCAACAGACAACCGAAGTGGATTCAAACTGTACTTTATATTGAATACTTCAACCTTCTAACGTCATACTTTGTACTAACTAAAAAATGAGAGATTGACGTGTTGATAGCTATTCAATCGTCTTAAACTTGACTTTCTTTAGATAAATTAAATAAAGTAAATAGTTAGCCAATCTATTTCTCTATCCTGTGCGCTTACATCGATTAGTTCAAGTGAATGATTACATGTACATCAATGGTTCACAATGGCAAGATACTTGCCAACCATGCACGTTGTCCATGGTTCGATTCCCCACTGATGCACTCCTAAATCTTCACCAGTCTGTTGGTTGATAGTAAGCCCAGAAAAAAAGGTAAAGATTGAGAGTGAGGCTGGTAAGTAACCCCACCACTTGAAAAAACAATACCACAACGTCTACTGAGACTTCGGGGTTTAAAGCCTGAAGTTCTATGTGGAACTAGGAATACAGAGGAATTGAGAAAAAGCAAACAGATTTTATGTACTTTCAAGTTGAATGACATTTTTGGCATTTATCTACTGTGTATCACTGAATGAAATTTAATTAATCTAAAGATATACCAACCTTAAATTTCAACAGAGAGAAGAAAAGGCGTGATCTTGAAGAAAGATAAAGCCTTCATTGTTATACTTATTCTTAATAAGATTACCTAACTAATCTATGGAAGAGTTGTCTTTCCTGAGAAATAAAATTAAATAGGATAATTCATTTAAGTAATCTCGCGTGTAATGAACTGAGAACTGTACAGTACATGTATGCGTGATCGTGTGTGTGTGTGTAACACGAACAATAATGACTTTAACTTTAACAAAGTAACTCACTAAACAGTAAACAACAACGGTAAATAATCATTTTCAGTTAAATTTGAAATAATTAACATTCATATATGTATAGGGGAATCAGCTCATTGTGATAGAATAATTTTATTCATTATACATATAACACACAAAATGATACAGTAATATTTGTCAGTGCATCGATAGTTCCATGATAGAATGCTTGCCAGCCACATATACGATTCGGGTTCGAATCCTAGCCGATGCATTCCCAAACCTCTGTGGTAATAAGCCTGATAAAGAGGGAGGATTGAGCGTGAGGCGTAGCGACTCCAGCTCATAAAAAGAACACTACCTCTACACTGAAACATTGAGGCTCAAGATTGAAGCCGGTTATATGTTCCCATCGGAACGCAAAAGAATGAAAGAAGAATAAGAATGATTTGTTTACTAATGATATTTTTAAATATTCCCACTGTTAAGAATTAGAACAAGACATATAAGCGAACAATATTGTTGTTTTCAATTATATCTTCTTCAGGTTTTACTCTAAATTACATAGATTTATATATAAATATGTTAAACAATGACAGTGAGTTTGTGGATCAAATAATAATAATGTGGTAAATGTTTAGACCGTCAGTAATAACGATGATTATAGTGATAACAAAATATGCAGGAGAAAGTGGAGATGGATTGGACACTCGGGGCTGAGGAGGGCGCTGGATGACATCGCGCGCGCGTCAGGCCATTGCTCGAGTGGAACCAGGCCGAAAGGGGAGCGGCGAGTGGGTCGTCAGTGCAAAGGTGACATGGAGGAGATCGTGTGAAGAGAAGTTGAGACAGTAAGGACTAACATGGATGCAGGCGAAAAGTACAGCAGAAGACAGAAACAAGTGGAGACGTACAGTTGAAGCCCTATGTTCCACTAGGAACCCAAGGGAACAATATAATAATAATAATAAAATAATGATAAGGTTTATGCAGGTGGCGATAAAAATAACAAAGGTAGTAATATGTGTATATGTAGACGATTCAATAAATAAAATAGGTCAAATCTTAGAAGTTACGCAATACTAAGGGTGAAGTGGACAGATAATCAGAGTTCAAATAAATATCATAAAAGTACAAAGGAGATGGAAAACAAGAAAGGGTGGGAGGGTTTTAATTAGACTTTACCTAGGCCAAAGGAGAGGAAGGCAGAGCAAACTTCTTTTGTCGTATGCAAAGACTAGGATTGTCCTCTCGAATTAGCTATACATAAAAGGCGGATCCGAATTCCGTTTAAAAGGTTCAGTGGAATGCGATAGATAACTTTGCAAGCACTTTTTCCGTCCACTTGGTGACCACTACCATCAAGCATATGAGACAAAATAGAACTTCTCATACATTTTATTCAGCCTTTTCCGAACCACGAAGGAAAATGCTTGCCAACACATATGTTGAGCTGTCTAGTTGTTCACCCTATATAGCTTTCTCTGCAGGAGCAACTAAATTTGTAGATACAACACATAGAAGTGGTACAGCTATGCAGCTTGTCTTTCTCTTGAGAAATCATAATTGGTCAGCTAGAAAATGACAACCAAAGGGTGATGGTGGCAGTATAAGTCCGTTTTATTGCTCTCGATAATTTGAGATGTAGGTCTTCACTAGCCAGTCACGTTTCCATTAAACTGCAAATTTAGGGGCAATTATTTCTTTATAACTGTTGTCAGTTTCTCTTTATTATACCTGGTGTTCATGTGTCTGTCTCCTTATACATCTACTAGGATAACCCATTTGGACCAGCATAATATATTGTTCACTTATATGTCTTGTTCTAATGACATTTCATCACAGGCACAATTTATTGCTTATAGTCATATCAAAATAGTCACATTTTTTATC